GGAGAGAAGGATGAGGTTGAGTATGTAGGAGTGGATGATGAGAAAGAGAAGTACCATGATGAGCTCAATGATGATGGTCAAGAGGATTGTTCTTACTATCCTGACACTGACCCAGAGGATGATGACCCACTAGAGGTGGATGATGAGAGGGGCTGTGAGAGTGTGCTGCATGTCACTGACGTAGATAACCCTAAAATAGCAGTTGGTGTTACTTTTGAAGATGGTTTATGTTTTAAGAGGTGTATTAGGCAATATGCTATGCTTAATGAAGTTGAACTTGCAGTTCCTTATAGTGAGTCAAGGCGGTACCGAGCTTACTGTAAGGCAGAGAGGTGTAGGTGGAGAATTCATGCATCTCAGTTATCAGATGGGAAGACATGACAGGTATGCACTTTTTCATTACTTGTTTATGCCATGTTTCATTGATGTAGCTGTTTCACTAACTCTATATTATTTCATTACCTTCATTCTTTGATGGTTGCAGATTAAGAAGATGCCACACAAGCACAGATGTGCTGGCATAGGGAATTTGGAAAAGAATTGCATGGCTACCAATCATTGGGTGAAGGACAGAGTTATTAATTGGCTAAGGGAGAACCCAACTATTTAGCCTAAAGCTCTAAGGAAACAGTTGGAGGAGAAGTACAACATCAAGGTGAGCAAGTACGTTGTTTGGGACGGCAGGCAAATGGCATTAGATGAGATTTTAGGTGGATGGGAGGACAGCTTTGTCCATGTGTTTTCTTAGAAGAGGGAGGTTGAGAAGAGGTGTCCTGGTAGTGTTGTAGAGATTGAATGGGAGCTTATGAATGAGAAGAGAAGGTTTTGTAGGATGTTTGTAGCACTGAAGCCATGCATTGATGGCTTCCTTAATGGTTGTAGACCGTACCTAGGGATTGATTCTACAGTTTTGACAGCAAGGTGGAAGGGTCAGTTAGCTTCAGCTATAGGTGTTGATGGCCATAACTGGATGTTCCCAGTGGCCTATGGAGTCTTTGGCAGTGAGACCATGGAGAACTGGGAATGGTTCATGAAGATGCTGCACAAGGCAATTGGTTCTCCACATGGTCTGGTTATTTCAACAGATGCAGGTTAGTTTTCTTATTTCAACATATTTCAGCAGACCTTATTCTTTTCTTGTTTCCTAATGACTGACAGTGTTTTCTGGTTCTTTTCTTGTTTCCTAATGACAGGCAAAGGAATTGATAAGGCAGTTACCAAAATCTTCAGCAATGGTGTAGAACACAGAGAATGCATGAGGCATCTTGTCAAGAATTTTCAGAAGAGGTTTAGAGGAGAAGTGTTTGAGAAGAACTTGTGGCCTGCATCAAGGTGCTACAGAATGACAACACATGAGAGGCATTGGAATGAGATGCACAAAGCATGCCCAAAGGCAACTAACTGGCTGCTGGAGAACCACAAGCAGCTATGGGCAAGGGCCAAATTCAACACAACAAGCAAATGTGACTATGTCACCAACAACATTGCTGAGACATTCAATAGTTGGATCAGGGAACACAAGTCCTTACATGTTCTAGACCTCATGGATAAGATAAGGCAGTTGATCATGGAGAGGTTCTGCACTAGGAGAAACCTGGCCTCAAAGTTGTCAGGCTTCAAGATTTTGCCTCATGTCATGAAGGTTCTGCATGAGAAAAGCAGATCCCTTAACTATAGCATACATAGGAGTGGCTCAATGGTTGGAGAAGTAGGAGTGAATAAAGACCTAGTTCCTTGGAGATTCATTGTTGATCTGGACAACCATGAGTGCACATACAAAGGATGGCAGCTCACTGGACTCCCCTATGTGCATGTCATAGCTTTCATTGGCACAAGAAGGGTCCTATTGGAGGATTTTGTGCACCCTTACTACTCTGTGCAGAAGTTCATAGCAGCATATGCATCTGTTGTGCCTCCAATGCCAGACAAGGAAGAATGGGAGAAGGTGGACCTTGGCTTCAAGCTACTTCCTCCTTTATGCTATAGAGCAGCAGGTAGGCCAAGAAAGAGAAGGATAGTTGGCTTTGAAGAAGGTGGGACAAGCAGTAGAGGCGAGAGAAGGTGTAAAAGGTGTGGTGGATTTGGTCACCTACAGAAAACCTGCAATGAAACTGTCCATGATCCTGATGCCCCACCACCTGCACCACCAAAGAGGAGGAGGACTTACAAGCCAAAAGTGGTGGAGATCATAGAAACCACGGAAGATCCATCCAAGAAGAGGAAGAGGACTTCCAAGCCAAAAGTGATCAGGGTTACAGAAAACCCAGAAGATCCTTGTACTAAGAAGAAGAGGAAGGCCTCCACCAAGGGGAAACAACCCAACAAGAAAAAGAAGGCAACTCCTACAGCTGCATAGCCCACACCTGCAGAGCCCACACCTGCTAAACAGTATGTGATCCATCTGTTACCTTCAGTTTTTATGTTAATTTAGGGACTACATGTTAACATGTGTATAATCAGGGGGTTTCAAACTCCCCGGTGACAACAAGGCGAGGCCCCACCAAGGAGCAGTGACAAGGAGCCAAAGTACATCATCAGCAAGTCCCAGCGCTAGCACTAGGAGCAAGAAGAGGTTGATGGAAGTCTAGGAGTGTGCAAGCAACATGGCTTCCTCTTTATGATGGATTTATGTGATTTTGTGAACTTCTCTGTCAGTTTAAGGATGCTATGGCCATATAAACTTGGTCTGGGTTATGTATGACACCTAGTATTGAATTCTGGCAAATGAACTATGTAATGTGTAAACTAATATTGTATTGTGGCCATATGAGGCTCCACTTGGACTGTTATTGTATTATGACACTTGGTATTGTATTATGGCCATCTGAGGCTCAGTTTCCTTGTATTAAACTTGGGATTGCAAGATAATTGTCTTCCATTCATTTCTCAAGCCATTACAAAGTTAATCTTGCTTCTGCATTAAGATGCACAAGACAACTGCACAAGACAACAAAGCACACAACTCCTATAAACACACTGGCCACATTCAACCACCTATCCACTCTCTGTTGCCCAGCTATTCTACTGACACGGAGACTTTGAGCTTCAACAGAATTGCCCAGGGCCAACAGAGACTTCTCTAATGCCTGGACTCCAGCCGTCAATGATGCAGCATCAACGCCATCACTCACCGGCTTCCACATGAAGAAAGCGCACTTGTTGTTGCCCTGTTCAAGCAGAGATTTCGGATGAACCCTAGATCTGGAGTTGGCGTTGACGAAAATGAACAACATGAAGTACAAAAAACTCACCCAGTCCCGATTCTTGCAAGTGTAGAACTGCTTATCTGGGTTGTTTGTGGTTTTGGAGGTCCGCTCCACAATGGTGGCCGTCCGGCAGAAAGGGCACAGCGGCTGCCCACCCGTCGGCGGCTGTCGACTCGGTCCGCACGAACCTGTCGAGGAGGAAGCGCCGGAGCCCGTCGCCATCTTCAGGCCTCTGCTTGCCCCCACCGGCCCGCTTGACAATCCCGCGCCCGCCAAGCCTGCGCCACCGCCGCCGTCAACCAAATCGCCACCGCCGCCGACTTGGAGAAGGGGATGGGGAAGAGAGGGAAGGCGGGAGGGCGTCGATACCCTAACTGCCGGGTCGGGCCGGTTAAATGTGGTCGAACCAGACCGGGTTGCCGTTTTGGCTCGAGGGCACCACATGTCCAAAATGAATATTTCTCTCTCCTCTCTTGGCTCAAACCGGGGCGCGGTGTCTTCTGGCAACTCAAAGTAGAAACACAGTGGCCAGCAGCAAATTGGCGCATTTGCGGTGTCCACCAGCCGTCGGTGCTCATTTGGCATGTCCTGTGGCCAATTGTCCCTTACGTTTTCTGGTTTGTTTTGGGCACCTTTGATGTGTTATTTGAATGTTCTTCCCATTCCAAAGGGCACTGTTGACATGATCTGTGGAGGTCCTCCTTGCCAAGGCATCAGTGGATTTAACCGATTTAGATCGCGTGAGGATCCACTGATGGATGAAAAAAAATAGCTGGTTGTTTTTATGGATATCGTGGAGTATTTGAAGCCCAAATACGTTCTCATGGAAAATGTTGTGGATATATTGAAATTTGCTGATGGATTCCTTGGGAAGTATGCATTGAATCGGCTTGTAGCCATTAATTACCAAGCTAGGCTTGGGTTGATGGTCGCAGGATGTTATGGGCTACCACAATTTAGAATGCGCGTATTTATCTGGGGAGCTCTTCCATCAATGGTTGGACACTCTAGCTCTTTGTTATTTTACTTGCTATATTACAGAGTATGGTTCAGTAAGGATGTATACCTTTACAATTTAGGTACTACCAAAGTTTCCGTTGCCTACCCATGATGTTGTTAAGAGAGGAGTAGTGCCAAATGCATTTGAGGTAAGAGACTAACCAGACAACATACCAAATTTCTTTTATTGACATTGTCTAGCTACTATGCCACTTTTGCAGCAAAGTGTGGTAGCATATGATGAAACAGAAGCTCCACAGTTGAGGAAAGCTTTGCAGATGCTATATCCGATTTACCAGAGGTTAGTGATTTATATTTTACCTTGTCTTTACCCTTTTGTTAAGATTCTGCTTAAACATTATTTATGGTATTCTTTTTCTGTTTGCACTATATATTATTTTCTACAGGTTGGAAACCATCAACCCAAAGATGTGATGGACTTTATCGTTGGCCCTAAAACAGAATTCCAACGCTACATCCGGCTTAACCGTAAAGGTAACCCACCAAGTGTTACCAATTGAACTTGATAACCATAGAACAATAAGTGACCATGTGTAATCTTTATTATTTGTATTCATAAAGTGATTCTTTTTTCCTTCCAAATATTCAGTTGGTGGGTAGTTTTGATAACGCCTTTTGCATTTTCTTTACCATTTGGTCGCTTTTGTATACTCTTTATTATATTGTTATTCTGAAAATTCGGTTATTGTTCTAAGCCATGATGGACTACTCCTTCGATGGAGGTTGATTCTAGCGAAGGTAAACTGTTTGATCATCAGCCTCTAAGACTAAACAATGATGATTACGAGCGTGTGCAGCAGATTCCTCTTTATCGAAGTTGATTCTAGCGAAGGTAAACTGTTTGATCATCAGCCTCTAAGACTAAACAATGATGATTACGAGCGTGTGCAGCAGATTCCTCTTAAAAAGGTTAGCCAGTGATGATGAATATCATACTATCTATTGTTTGTCATGTCAAGTACTCCCTTAGCAATTATTGCATTTTAGGGGGCCAACTTCCGTGACCTCAAAGGTGTCAAGGTTGGCATCAACAATACCGTGGAGTGGGATCCAGACGTTCCCCGTGTATTTCTGTCATCTGGGAAGCCTTTGGTACCTACGTCTACTCTGCTATGTTTCACTAACTGTAATGCTTTTGGTTCCTCTTGTACTAACCATAGTTTCTCCGGTTAGGTGCCTGACTATGCTATGACCTTCATCAAAGGGAAGTCAGCAAAGTAAGTGTACTCAATGAAACTTCATGTTTATTCTATATAGAACTTGGTCTGTACACTTGTTTATGCTTTGCAGACCGTTTGGACGTCTGTGGTGGGATGAAATAGTTCCCACTGTTGTTACCAGAGCTGAGCCTCACAATCAGGTTAAGACTAAGAATTCCTTTATGTATCTACAGTACGAAGCCTGTTTTTTTCTGGCGATTGAGCCTGGTGTTGCAAGTAGCTAGACAAGTAGAATTTCTCCTGTCAGAGGGCAGCTTGGCACTTAGCCGCTTGATTGCATTATATAGGAATAGCAAACTTGGGATACAAGAAGTTCTCAACTACTACAACATATTCTAGTGCATAAAGTAGATGCTAGCTTGGATGCTAAGGCACCTAAAAACAGCTAGACAGTGAATAGTAAATAGCTAAGTAGATAACTAGATACATGGGTAAGCACTAGGCTAAACCCTCACCTGGATGATCTTTTGCATATTATTTTGCATCCCAGTCAAGCTCGAGTTTTGACCATCCGTGAAAATGCAAGGCTGCAAGGTTTTCCTGAATATTACAGGCTGTTTGGCCCAATAAAGCAGAAGTAACTTTCTCTACCATGTTCACATCAGTTCGACTGAACATACTGACTTGTTCGTTGTTTATGTATGAAGCTGGTCTTATTGTGTTGTGCGTTTTGGGTTTAGATATATGCAGGTTGGCAATGCTGTTGCTGTTCCGGTTGCTCGAGCTCTAGGTTGTTCTCTCGGAATGGCATACATGGGTAGATTAGATGGAGATGGACCACTGTTCAAGCTGTCCAGGAGCTTTACGAGAACTCCTGTAGTGTTTTCAGGAGGTGAAGACGCAGATATGGAACAAGTGCTTGATTGATAATTTAGTTTGTGCAGCTGACTTAAGTGCATCGATATGATCTGATATAATCTTCTGTCAAAACTGGCAGTGTTTTGCTGGCTCTACATTTTTGCTATTCGGCGAACCCAGATTTTTTTTGTAACATTATTAGAATCAAAAGGATTCCACCAGCAATTTTGTCTGTGAAACTCTCCTCCTTTATTTTTTCTCAAAGAACCAATTCTCTTGCTTTATTTGATGAATGCAAAGATACCACTGATTCCACCAGAAATCTTCCCCAGTTGTTTCAATGCTGAATAACTCTGCTGGTGAGGTAAGTTTTGTTTGCGAGAATTATTGATAGTTGGTAGCAATTTTTAGATTCGACTATGTTGCGAAGCTGAGTCATATGCTCTGCATCTGTGGATATTCTGCACTATGCACACATTTGTCATCACGGAAGGGATGATGGCACCGATGATCGTACGGAAACTAAGTCATGAAGTGTTATCCTTCACCCCTGTTCTGCAGCACCACTTAAGCAATATTTTTCAGCGAATGAAAAGTGTTTTCCTCGTACAACAAATCAACATAAGCCAAATTTCAGCGAAACGAACACATTTTGGGACACGTCCAACAGCAAATCTGTCAATCATCCGAGCTCCAAAGGCAGACAGCATCCCTTTAGTCACTTGAGGCTAAAAATGAAAAAATTACCAAGGAGGGCAACGGCTCTCGTCCTGGAAATGTGGCATGGTCGTCGCATGGCGGTGCGGTGGAGGTTGGGCTGTGATGCTTTGAGCCTACTTCCCTTTCCCCTAATTTTTTATAATTTGGCCATTTTTCGAAGAAAATTTACGTTTAATCCCCTGGGGGACTTAAACTCATCTTTGGACCGTGGGGGTCGGCGCCATGAGTCCTGGTGCCGAGATAACACGTCTTGGCGCCACAGATCTTGGCTCCGAGGTGCCTGGCCGTGTACAACAGAGAATCCTAGGTAGCGTTGACGTGGCCGGTACCTCGGCGCCAGAATACATGGCGCCGAGGTCGGCGCCACAGATCTTGGCTCCGAGGTCGGCGCCATGTATTATGGCGCCGAGTATGCATTCAAAGCGTGCGCCAGTACCTAGCCTGACTGCATGTCTCCATCCACTGTTGTTGTGCGCTACTACTAGCCTACTATTGTACTCCTACCACTAGTAGCAGGAGTAGTAGAGCGCGTGAGGCGCGGGGGGAGGAGGAGGGCAGCAGCTAGAGACAGCGGCGTAAATGCTGGCATCTGCGCGCACCTAGCTGTTGGTAGCAGGAGTAGCAGAGCGCGTTTAGGTTCCTCGTCTCAACTGTTAAACCCCACCACCCCATCCCAGTAATTTAAGTTCCAAGAATGATGGGGTATGTTTTTGGAAGGTGTACACATACATGATATGCACTGCAACCTGCAGATCTCCTTTTTATATGTACAATCCCATATATAGTTGTTTTAGGAAGTAGGAACTGGAGAACAGAAAGCGTTGATACATAATTCCATTTTTCTCTCGTAACGTTCTTTTTATTTTGTACTTTCAAGCAACTCTTATATTTTAGCATTTTTTTATGGTAGCTGTCCATACACCTGCATTGAAATGTTTAGCACAGTGTGGATTTTTTTTTCTGAGTTTGTTTAAGGCAACGTATTAAGTGCAAACCAACTAATCTGTGCAAACTTAGAAACTACCAATCAGGACCACTAGATGCTGATCCAATGAATGGGGTGAGAGGTGGGATTTTTTTTTTGCTTAAGCCCCCCCCCCCAACCACCGGCCTTTTTTTTGCGCTTAAGCCCCCTCACCCCATCCGTTGGATCAGCATCTAGTGGTCTTGATTGATAGTTTACAAGTTTGCATAGATTGGTTGGTTTGCACATGATATGTTGCATTTGTTTAAGCCTTCTAAAGTGAATTTACCATTCAATTATACCATATCATTTTACATACTGATATCCGTGGCAATAGAATGGTATGGGTAAATCTATATTTATTTCTTTTGTTTGATGCATGAATTTTCCTTTTCTAATTGAAAGATTACTTTGGATTTTCAGGAAAGCACTTTTGGATCCACTCTTGTCTAAGGGAGTGTTTGGATTCGGTGACTAAAATTTAGGAGGTATCACATGAGGGTGTCGCATGGGGTGTTCGGATACTAATGAAAAAACAAATTACATAATCCATTAGTACTCCACGAGACGAATTTATTAAGCCTAATTAACCCGTCAGTAGCATATGTTTACTGTAGCACTACATTGTCGAATCATGGACTAATTAGGCTTAAAAGATTCGTCTCGCAAATTAATCGTAAGCTGTGCAATTAGTTTTGTAATTAGTCTATATTTAATACTCCATGCATGTGTCCAAACATCCGATGGGACAGCGACTAAAGTTTAGGAGGACAAAACAAACACCCCCTAAGTACAGTGTTCATACTGATGTCTTGTTGGGTTTGCTGAAAAAAGTGCTACTCCTGCTACCAATAGCTGCATGGGCACAGATGCCAGCATTTACGCCGTTGTCTCCAGCTGCTGCCCTCCTCCTCCCCCCGCGCCTCTCGCGCTCTGCTACTCCTGCTACTAGTGGTATGAGTACAGTGGTAGGCTAGTAGTAGCGCACAACAGCAGTGGATGGAGACATGCAGTCAGGCTAGGTACTGACGCACGCTTTGAATGCATGCTCGGCGTCAGAATACATGGCGACGAGCTCGGCGCCAAGATCTGTGGCGCCGAGGTACCGGTCACGTCAACGTCACCTGGGATTCCCTGTTGTGCACGGTCAAGCACCTCAGAGCCAAGATCTGTGGCGCCGAGACGTGTTACCTCGGCGCCAGGACTCATGGCGCCGATCCCGAGGTCTCCCATGGGCAAACGGACAATAGGAAGGTACGCCATGAGCGCATGAACGAACCACTTCGCGTTTTGACGCCTTTTCTCATCAGCTTGGTTCCTCGTGCCTATGATCTCGGCTCTGCCAGCATTTGCATTGCAGGGGTTCATCACGCCGACGGAGGGAGGAGGTGCGCCATTCTAATCCAACCCCGGCCCACCCTCTAGAGGGTGGGGACGTGGGGTGGATCATCCTCCTCCCCAGGAGAGAACTGCATCCCCGTTAAGGCGTTAAACATCAATCATGGCCACGCCGTAGACGGATTGGGATTGTCCGCTCCAGCTGATGACGACACGTCGTCGCCGCCTCCTTCCAACTCGTCGCCCAAGCCCTCCGGCTCGGGCTCGGGCTCGCCGCCGCCGTCGCCGTTGCCACCCACACCGTCGGTGTTGCCGCCACCGGCGCCGCATTCCCACCCCCGGCGCCTGCGGCCAGAGGCTCGCCGCCGGCAGCGCCGTCAAGGGACTCCCCGTCACAACCGGCTCCGAAGCGCAGCGGTGGTGACTCCGACAAGAGTAGCCGCAGCAAGAGCGGAAGCAGCAGCAGCAACGGGTCAGTGCAGGTGGGTGTCATCCTGGCCGGCGTGTTGATCGGGGTCCTGGCCTTCGGCCTGCTGATGTGCATCGCCGCGTGCGTGTGCTGCGCCAAGAAGAAGAGGAGGAAGAAGCCCCCGCACATGAACATGCCGTACTACACCGACGAGCACGGTACACGCTGCATGCTGACGACATACAAATGAAGAGAGAGAGTGCGGACTAAGAACTGACATGGCGCGCCGCGGCGTGCGTGCGTGCAGGGAACGTCTTCTACGCGAACAGCATGCCCAAGTGGCAGAGCAGCGCGATGGACCACGGCTGGCACGCGCCGTACTCGCCGGCGAGCGGGGACATGAGCGGTTCGCACGGGCAGATGCCGCCGTCGCCGGGCATGCCGTCGCTGGGGTTCTCCAAGAGCTCATTCTCATACGAGGAGCTGGCGGAGGCGACGGGACGCTTCTCGTCGGCGAACGTGCTGGGGCAGGGCGGGTTCGGGTACGTGTACAGGGGCGTGCTCGCGGGCAGCGGCAAGGAGGTGGCCGTGAAGCAGCTCAAGGCCGGGAGCGGGCAGGGCGAGCGCGAGTTCCAGGCCGAGGTGGAGATCATCAGCCGAGTCCACCACCGCCACCTCGTCACCCTCGTCGGCTACTGCATCGCCGGCTCCTCCCAGCGCCTGCTTGTCTACGAGTTCGTGCCCAACAATACCCTCGAGCACCACCTCCACGGTCAGTACGCGGCTCGTTGCGCTCGCTCTTGAGCTTTTCCGTCCTGGACATTCTGATTGCTGGTTGTGATGCATGCGTATGCGTGGTGGGTGCAGGGAAGGGCGTGCCGGTGATGGAGTGGCCGAGGAGGCTCACCATCGCCCTCGGCTCCGCCAAGGCCTGGCTTACCTGCACGAAGATTGTAAGCTCCAAATCGATTAGTTCCTTCTGTTGCTTGACGATTTCTTGCGAGGTATCCCATGTTCATCTTTGACGGTTTTCCTTGCTAATGACAATGTGCATGGTGAAACACAAATTAAGGTCACCCCAGGATCATCCACCGTGATATCAAGGCGGTCAACATCCTTTTGGACGAAAATTTCGAGGCTAAGGTACGCGTTTGACTGAACAAACAAAAAAAGATCGACCGGATCACCGGAGTGAATTTGTAACTCGTTCGCACTGTTACGTCCCAGGTCGCGGATTTCGGACTAGCCAAGCTGACCACAGACACCAACACGCACGTCTCCACGCGCGTCATGGGAACTTTCGGGTAAGCACCATGCCGCGGCAACGTCAAGCGTGCATTCGGCGACACGAAGCATGCAGAAAAAAAAAAGGTGCCTGGATGACCGATGGGCCGTTTGCCTGTGTATATGCGCGCAGGTATTTGGCCCCGGAGTACGCGTCGAGCGGCAAGCTCACCGACAAGTCGGACGTGTTCTCCTTCGGCGTCATGCTCCTGGAGCTCATCACCGGCAAGAGACCGGTTGATCCCACGAACTACATGGAGGACAGCCTGGATGACTGGGTACACTGGCCTCCCTCTCTGTGTTGTGTTGCCTTGCACTGCAGCTGCCCCTCCATTGGCGCATGCATGCAAGCGTTCGCACGCTGGATTCTCACACGTTTGCGGCGGTGGTGCGCAGGCGAGGCCCCTCTTGGCGCGCGCCTTGTCCGAAGAAGGCAACTTCGACGAGCTGCTGGACCCGCGGCTGGAGAACAGGATCAACCGGCTGGAGCTGGAGCGGATGTGTGCCTCCGCCGCCGCTGCCGTCCGCCACTCAGCCAAGCGGCGACCCAAGATGAAACAGGTGAATTTCAGCTTCGGCTTCGGCTTCGGCTTCCTGAATTTTGCGTTCGAGACCCCCTCGCCTGCGAAATGATGCAAGGGCATTCGAGATTACCACGAACTGTTTCGCCGTCTGTCCCCCGTTTCTGCAGATCGTTCGTGCTCTGGAAGGGGACGCGTCGCTGGACGACCTGAACGAGGGGGGTGAAGCCAGGGCAGAGCATGATGTTCAGCTCTGGCTCGGAGTACGACTCGGGCGGCAACTACGCGTCGAACATCAACAGGTTCAGGAAGGTGGCCTTTGAGAGCAGCGAGTACAGCAACGAGTATAGCGGGACAAGCGAATACGGCGCTGACTCCGAGGATGCGGCGTCCCGGCGGCAGCAACATCGCTGATCGTTTCGAGGGGCGCCAGAGACCTCGTCAAGATGTGTGTGTGAATGTGTGTGATGTACAAATGTACAATATACCGAGGGATCGGTTGTCGGATACTACGAGAGATACCCAACGCTCGTGACAGCTTTAGTACTTGTAATGATCGTCATACTGCCATGTAATGTACGTATCTGTGCGTTTCCATGCGCGTAACGTGTTGCTGCTGGCCTGAATTTTGGCGAATTTTTGCTGCTACTCCCTCCGTCCCATAAACAATGACATTCTCACTTCTCGATGAGTCAAACATTTTTTACTTTAACTAATTATATATAAAGAATACTAATATTTATAATACATAATTAGTATCATTAGAAAAATTGCTGAATTTATTTTTATAATAAATTTATTTAGTGATACATATGTTGCTAATATTTTTTCTAAAACTAGTCAAACTTGAAAAAGTTTGATCAGCATGTATCTCATGGCGTCATTCTTTTTCGGACGGAGAGAGTAGTTGCGATAAGCAGGCCATCTCATCGAAAGACGCCGAGGAATTAGGAACTTGTACCAAGTTCTCCCGGAGTCGGAGTAACTTTCTAACTCCATTTTATTACTCTCTTATAAGTCGTTCGAACGACTTATAATTTGGATATAATTTGAAATTAGTAAACATTCATTCATCGTTGTAGTATCGATAATGCCTAGACCTCTATCCTTTGGCTTGCTCGCATACTTCTATTTGGCCTATACTTGTTTTCTGCCCTGCATAAAAATTTTGCCCGGAGCTATCCATCTTGGAGTGAGCTCCAATAGGCGGAAGGTAGAAACCCAAACCGAAAATAGGCAAGCTGGTTAAGCAAGAATCGGTAAGAATCTTACTCAAAGCTCCCATCCGGCAGCAAGAAGGACAATTCCCAGTCGTACAATATGCCGATGACACGCTGATGTTTCTTCAAGCGGATGCCTGCCAGCTCTTTTGCCTGAAAGCGCTCCTAAACAGTTTTGCCGAGAGTACTGGACTCAAAGTGAACTACAACAAGTCGCATATGATCCCGATCAATGTTGACATGGCAAAGATGCAACACCTGGCAAGCACATTCGGGTGCTCCATTGGCAGCATGCCTTTCACCTACCTCGGACTTCCAATGGGTACGACAAAGCCGCGTATGGAGGACCTCACACCATCGATGGACAGAATTGAACGGAGATTATCGGCATGTTCCTCGTTACTCTCTTATACTGGCAGGCTTGAGATGATCAATTCAGCTACCACTCCCACGGTAACATACTCGCCGATAGGGGTGATCGACAACATCGACAGAGCCCGCAAGCAATGCCTTTGGAGGGGCAACAGTAACAACACAAGAGGTGGCAATCTTGTTGCATGGCCTCGATGCATCACCCCCAAAAACAAAGGTGGACTTGGAATCTTAAATTTGCGTCTCCAAAATGATGCATTGCTTCTCAAACACCTACACAAGTTCTACAACAGAGAAAACATCCCGTGGGTCAATTTAGTTTGGAGCAAATATTACACAAATAAAGTGCCACATGCAGCAAGAGAGGTTGGGTCCTTTTGGTGGAAGGATAAGGCTCAACTCTCTCTATCGAAGCATAGCATCGTGCAGCTTAGGCGATGGGTCGACGGTGCTCTTCTGGGACGATAAATGGTCACATGTTATTCTTGCTGAAACCTTCCCACACCTTCTGCAGTTCTCCAGAAATGACAGAATTTCAGTTCAGGGCGTCATGCAAGCCAAGGACTTGGATTCGCTATTTATGCTACCTCTCACACAGGAAGCTTTTACTGAGCTTGAAAGCCTCCAAGATCTGCTCCAGACTATCAGCTTTGATGAATCCGTCAAAGACAAATGGACTCTAACGTGGGGCTCCAACACCTACTCCTATAGTAGGCTATACAAGCTAGCTTTGCAAGGCCTGGACACACCCTATTTTTGCATGGGTATGGAAGTCACGGTGCATGAACAGAATTAAATTCTTTGCTTGGCTCATCCTAGTGGACAGACTAAACACCAAGTCAATGCTCAAGAGGAGAAACATGCTAGCAGAAGAGGAGGTAAATTGTGTTATGTGTAACCCTGGAGAAGAGGAAGACATTGACCATCTTTTCTTCAGCTGCCCGTTCGCACAACAATGCTAGCAAAAATTAAACGTGACCTGGGATAACACGCAGAATATGGCCACAAGAGTATCTGCTGCCAGAAGTCAGTACCCTGGGCCCTTTTTCATGGAAATAAGTCTGATTGCATCTTGGGAAATTTGGAAGCTCAGAAAGTGTTTGACAATGTGAGTCCGAGCTGTGCAACTTGGTTCAGCAATTTTAAAAATCAATGCCGTCTGCAGTCCGAGAGGTTTAAGGTGGATGATAGGTCCTCCTTTTGTGTTTGGCTTGATGCTTTTAGTTAAGGTCAATTTTTACCTTGTGTGTACCTTCTTTCACCCATTGTAAGTATTTCCCTCTTTATATAATGAAAAATGAAGTGCTGTGGGATCTTCCTCACAGTTTTTGCCTTAAAAAAAAGAATCGGTAAGAATCAATTTACCCTCAGATGTGGTGTTGTTGCCCTTCCAAGGATCAAGTCCCTTGATCGTCTTGCTCTGAATCCCAGCAAAAGCGGTGATACATAATTTGTGGCCAGATGTTAAAATAATGTTCAGGTACTTCATACGCAAAGTTCCCAAGTACCAATTTAACAAGTTTGCCATTCTTTCTCTCACCCTGAGAAACACCATAAACATAGGCTTCACTCTTATGACATCTAATTTAGAGATCAGACAGCCATTCAAAATAGTAGAAGATGAATTTAAGATTTAAGATGGACTTATCACCGTCATCCGCCATGATGATAGTATCATCAACGTACTAAACATTAGAAATCCAACCATATATCAAATCAAGAAGAATCCCATTGATGTAGGGGCACATATACGTACAAATACTAAAGCTGTATGTGTCAAGGGCCTCAAACCCCTGACTGGCCGGACCTCGGCTACGTAGCTCGTAGCCGCCGTCCGTCATGCCGGCGAGGTTATGCCCCTCGGCCGTCGGCTTAAGAGAGGAAGAGAGATTAGGGATAACTTCTTCGTTGATCTCAATTGTCCCAGCGTACATGCATATATGGCCCGTGGCCTAACAGATGGAGAAGGCTCTCCTTGATTGTAGGACTAATCCAACAAGGAAGTAACTAATCAGCTAGCTCTTTCCTCCTAGCCACTCGCCTGGCCTTCCTGCGCCCTGGCTGCTCGCTCGGCCGTTGCTCGCTCGGCCGCCCGGCGCACGTCGCGGGCTCTCCTGCGCCTGGCGTATGTGCGACCGCACATGACAGTATGACGATATAACGCACAGATATATCGTCATACGCACAGATATGTATCTGTACGCACAGATACCCAACCTTATCTAACGGACAGCTGAATACATCATTCCAAATTAAAGAGCAAGTGAACAATGCTGAAAGAGGATCTTGCCTTTTAGTAGCCCTATAGAAGTCTTGAAGTAGGGGGAGCCTTTGCCCATTCATATTTGCACTTGCACAAAGACCAAAGCAGCTTGCTATCACATAGAAATCACCATGGATGGTAGCTTCACCTAGGCACCAACTACACAATATACTTTGCTAGATGGACTCCAAAGCACACAAACACAAGCTCAACACAAAAGCAAAAACTCGATCTACGCTTAGCCCCTATGGATTTGGATTTCTGAGTGACTAGGGTGCACCGACGAACAGTCCGCCTGACGATCCACCAAAGCGAATCTGGCCAACTGAGGCAACTTGCCTCTGAGTGGTTTCCATAGACAATCTACAAAGACAACATTTAGTTGGTTTTACTCTAAAATCGTTGCCTGATTCCACAAGCAGTAATCTCATTTTAGGATTGGATATCTTTGGAGTCCGTCAGGAGCACAATCTACACGTGTGTAAGTGATATATTGGTATGTTTTGGGACTGTGCCTATCCACCTTGAGGCTGGGGTACTAGTCCCATGGTCCCACCTCCTAACATAAATCTGGGCTTTAATCACAGAAAGAAAAATAAAAATGGAGGTCCAATATCTTAAAAAAGTATACTCTCTTTTTTTTATAAAAAAATGTTATTTTGAGATTCGTGCTCGTTAAATTTTCTTAAGCTTGATTATGTTTATAGAAAATACTAGCAACATTTGTATCTCCAAATAAGTTCATTATGAAAATATATTTCATGGTTTACCTTTATGTAATGATGCTAATTATATATTTGAAAATATTCGATTTATGAGAATGATATTTTTTCGGTAATGTTGGGAAGCATACGTCCGTTCGCTCGGACTCTTTCCTTGGTGGGCCTCGATGCCTGTTCGAACGGCCCAACAATCTCACCCAACTTGCGTTGCTAAAGAAGTAATACTCTCTCCTCTCCCGTCTTCGTTCTCGAACCCATCCACCACAACCGCGCCTGTACCGTCGCGGCGTGCTCCCTCATCACCGTGACTGCACCACCACGGCGTGCTCCCTCATTGCCGCGCTGAAAGCTCTAGTCTAGTTTTGGTGAATTGATGAAACCCTAAGTGCTAATCTAGTTTATCAAAGTGATCATGAGATAGGTAGCACATTCCAAGTAGTAAAGCAAATGAAGATCATGACATGATGATGGTGATACCATGGTGATGATCAAGTGCTTGGACTTGAAAAAGAAGTAAAAGAAAAACAAAAGGTTCAAGGCAAATGTATAAGTGGTAAGAGCCTTTTCGTTTCGGTGATCAAGACACTTAGCGAGTGTGATCACATTTAGGTTCGATAGCCGTACTATTAAGAGGGGTGAAACTCGTATTGAAATGCGGTTATCAAAGTGCCAATAGATGCTCTAACTCATTGCATATGCATTTAGGATCTAGTGGAGTGCTAACACCCTTGAAAACATTTTTGTGAAAATATGCTAACACATGTGCACAAGGTGATACACTTGGTGATTGGCATATTTGAGCAAGGGTTAGAAATTTCACCGACGTAGTGTCCGCCCGTAGAGTGCGGACAATCCGACGGTGCCACCGGCGCCCTGTACAGAAAATACAGGGTTTTACAGAGTGAACCGGACACTGGCCTCAACTGGACCGACGCATCCGATCAGTGGAAGCAGTGAAGATGCTGGCGTCGGTCTTCGACCGGACGCTGGGTCACTTTGTGACCGGACGCTGACGGGGTGCGTCCGGTCTTGCTGACGTGGCAGCGCACAGAGGAGACAGTGAGTGACCGGACGCGTCCGGTCGCGAGTGGAAGCTTACTGGAAATGACCGGATGCTGGGGTCCTACGTCCGGTCATGATCAAACAGACACGTCCGGTCGCAGCTGTAACCTTACTGGAAGTGACCGGACGCTGGGGTCCTGCGTCCGGTCGTGGCACTGTGCTGCGTCCGGTCATCACTTGACCATTGGGATCGGGCGCTCAGTATTTGAAGAGAGTGATGACGTGGCAGCCATCCGTTGACCGGACGCTGGTGGGGTGCGTCCGATCAATCTGACCGGAGCGTCCGGTCACCCCGAGTTGTGCCCAGTGAAGGGGTACAACGGCTCTATTTCGTGGGGGTTTCTATTTAAGTCCCATGACCGGCTCAAACTCACTCTCTTAGCCATTTGCATTGACATAGCAACCTTCTGAGCTTAGCCAAAGCCCCCACACTCATCTCCATCATTGATTAATCATCTTTGTGAGTTTGGGAGTGAATTCAAGTGTACTGCTTTAGTGTTTGCATCTAGAGGCACTTGGTGTTTGTGTTTCGCTGCGGGATTTGCTTGTTATTCTTAATGGTTGCCGCCACCTAGACGGCTTGGAGCAGCGAGGATCATCGAGCGGAGGTTGGTGATTGTCTCCGGCTCCGATCGTGGTGATTGTGAGGGGTTCTTGACCTTTCCTCGGTGGAGAGACAAAAGATACTTTAGTGAATTGCTCGTGGCTTGTGTGATCCTCATCTTGTGTTGGCTGTGCGGCACCCTATTGAGGGTTTGACGTGTGATGCTAATTAACGCATGAACCTCCAAGTAAGTGAATCACCACAATGAGGACTAGCTTGCCGACGAGCAAGTGAACCTTGGTAAAAAATCATTGTGTCATCATTTGATTCCGAGGTAATTGATCTCCATTGGTATTCATCCTTGTGATTGATTGGTTCACTCCTCAATACGGCAGTATAACTATCTTTCTCATTCTCTTTACAATACCGTAAACTAGTTGTCAAGCTCTTTAGTGTAGCTAGTTGTGAGAGCTTATTAGTTTGGTTAGTGTGATTCTTTAGTTAGCATTTGAGAGCACACTAACTTAGTATAGTGACATAGATATTGTGTGGATAGAAACTATATAAACTAGAATTGTGGTAGGTGGCTTGCAATTTTAGTAGGCTAACGCAATACTTGCTTCGCCTCATAATTATTTAACCGGTTTGTTAAGTGTTGTTGTAGAAATTTTTAATAGGCTATTCACCCCCCTCTAGCCATTATGACCTTTCACGCGCCCGCCTCGCCCCTGCCGCCTCGCCGCGTGAGGCTGCACCTGCCCGACCGCGCTGCCACCTCCACTGCGGGTATCGCTCGCCCTCCACCGCGACCGCACTGCCCCGCTCTGCCGTGCTCTGCCAGCCCGCCGACCAGGTTTTACTGAAAGCACATGTTACACGTGTATGTTTCAAGTGCTTCAGATGTTTCAGAGGTACGTTGCAAGTGTTTTTTATGGATGTTGCAGAAGTAGATCGTGATGTTGCATATGTTGCAATGCCTATACATGTATGTTGCAAGCGTCCGTTCCAAATGTTTCATCTGTTTTTTCATAAGTATGTTGCAGGTGTGTTTATTTGGATGTTGCATATGTTTCACACATATATTGTAAATATTTTATCTGAATGTTGCATATGTTTTAGAGTGGTTTTTCAAGTGTTTTCAGGGTTTTTACATGTGTTTCAAGCGCATGTTTTATGTGTTTTATCTATCGTCAGATGTATGATGCAAATGTTTAATCAGAATGTTTCATAAGTAGATCGGGTGTTGTATATGTTGCAATGGCGCAGATGGTTGACGAACAACGTTCTGTCGTAAGACTTTGGCTTCTACCTCACGCCTTCTTCTCATGGCGCGCCTCGCCTTGCCCTCTCCTCTCCTCTTCTCTCATCTCCTCTCATCTCCCTCTCCTCCCTTCCCTTCTCTCCATCTCACCGCAGCAGTTCGACCTCGGTGGGGAAACAGAGGGGCGCATACGGCCCCACGCGTGGGTGGATAGTGTGGGTGGGGCGAGTCATCTAGGCAGTGCGGAATCCGAGCGGACGGGGCGCACTGCACGGAAGAGGAGCCAGCGGAAACTGGAGCTGCCATGCCATAGACGTCCATACGCGCGTGTCCATCCGAACACCGATCGCCAGGAGTACCGATTTTTTATGGGACGGAGAAAGTATGGCCCACATCTGATGACACGTCTCGGTCTCTCTCAGCCTGCTGCGCAAAAAGGGCGCGCGTAACGGCGAACCAGAGTCCAGGGTAGCGTTGCGTCGGAGCCCCCAGTATCGGTCGACGATCGATCGACCCGCCACCGCACCGCACCGGCAGCACGACCACCCTTCAAGGCCCCTGGTCCCGGTCCCCGGGCGAAACGGTCTCGTCCATCGTCCCTCCCTTCCCGAGCCAAGCACACTGCACACCGCCACCCACCAGTAAGCGCCCGGTGTCGCATGCCTCGCTCACTCGCCGGCGGTGACCTTGCCGTACCGGAGATGGCGCAGCCGTACATGAAGAAGGACGACGACGACGAAGACGGTTAGCCACCTCTCCTCCACCCTCCCCCGCTAAACCCTACCTACGTGCCTCCTATTGCTTTCGCGCGGCTACGATCTGGGATTCTGGGTGCCTCTGCCCGTCCTAGCGTGCCGGATCTAGCGCGATCTCTCGTCGCATCTCCGCGATCCGTTGTTACTGTTGTCGTCGTCATCGGTGGTAGTGGTGCTGCGGATTTATCTGCCGAGACTTTGCTGTTGGGCAGATCATTTGCGGGATTTGGTTGGGAATTGGGGTGGGAGCTCGCAGTTAACTGGATCTGGACTGCGTTTGTTTGCGGCATCGCGCGACCGACCCATCGTATCGGCCGGGCGATTCTGCTTCGCGTTATCGAAGTCCCACTTGCGAGGGCTATCAACCCAGTCAATGGAATCTGTGTTTTCCATCATTGGAGCTTCATGACTCACGAGCAATATTCTGGTTTAGATCCGTTCCCTAGCCTATTTGCCTCCTTCCCGTAACACTAGTATAGCCATGTTCCTAAGCAGACCCCACCATGCTTGAAATTAAACTGTCATCCCGTCTTTTTATTATGGATTCAATTCAATTAAGCTTGCAAAATGCTTCCAAGTTGTCTCATCTTTATTAACTGCGTGGATGTTTTTATCAGTTGAGTATTCACCATTCTTTGGGATCGAGAAGGGGGCTGTTCTGCAGGAGGCACGGGCTTTCCATGATCCACAACTTGATGTGAGACGATGTTCGCAAGTAAGAATTCCCTGCACTTTCTCCCATTTTGTCATTCTTTACAACCTGAGTTTTTGAGACATATATAATTTGACCCCTCTTATTTTTGTGGCTTTCTTCTCTGCTTCCTGTCCTGTTTGGAACTTTGTCGCAGGTCATCACCAAGCTATTATATTTACTTAATCAAGGAGAGACATTCACGAAGGTACGGTAGTAAAAAACTGCATAGTAGTGAGTTGTGTAGTTTCTGTGTGCACACATTTGCTTAGTTCAAAGAGGCAAAACTGTTTGATTGGGGAGTAAACATACAGTGCTACATAATATAATAAATTCAATTGTGCATGTTTCTGTTACAGGTTGAGGCCACAGAAGTCTTCTTTGCAGTAACAAAGTTATTCCAGTCTAGTGATGCTGGTCTTAGGAGGCTAGTATATTTAATGATCAAAGAGCTTTCTCCATCGTCAGATGAGGTTAAATAAATGATGTTTTCAGCTGAATCCAAATTTCATGCCTTCTAATCTAATTCTAAGATGTTTGAGCTTTATGGTTGTAATAGGTTATCATAGTCACAAGCTCATTGATGAAAGATATGAACAGCAAGACAGATATGTACCGTGCCAATGCTATTAGAGTTCTTTGTAGAATAATTGATGGTACCCTACTAACTCAAATTGAGAGATATTTGAAGCAAGCTATTGTTGACAAAAACCCAGTGGTTGCTAGTGCTGCTCTTGTTAGTGGCATCCACCTGGCCCAGGTACTGCTATAATTCTATGCATATATACTGATCTCTTGTTTAAGGTTGGTTAACAGTATCTTTTGTGACTTTGTCTACAGGCAAACCCAGAAACTGTGAAAAGATGGAGCAACGAAGTCCAGGAAGCTGTTCAATCAAGAGCTCCACTTGTCCAGTTTCATGGTCTCGCTCTTCTTCACCAGGTATAATCTTGTTCCATTGAGCCAGTCAGTGTTTTCCTAGACGCTAAACGCTAGACGGTCGGTCACCCTTCTTTAGCATTTAGTCGGTGTAGACGATAAATTATATGGCGGTTTGCACTGTAGCAGTAAATATGCATACAGGCATTTAGTCGGTGTAGACGATAAATTATATGGCGGTTTGCACTGTAGCAGTAAATATGCATACAGACACTATCGTTACATACTAAATTTTTAAATGTGACTCGAGACATGCACACAGTTGCACATGACATCATAGACAATTAGACAGACATAATGACATAGATAGTAGACTTGCAGTTCTCAGTTCTCACATAGTTAAATGATAAGCTGTCATTACGCAATAATACATTAGATATTAAGTTCTATCAACAACACAAATTTCAGATAGTTTTACCAAGTCAGTTCCCTATCACCAAGACTGTCGTTTAAATGCCTCAACTAGTGTTTAAACACATTTAAATCACAGTTAAACGCACCATTTAAGCTGTTTTCTGACTGCTTTGGCTGTTAAAACGATTTTTTGTTTAATTCGCCATTTAGGGCCTCAACTACACGATACCCACGGTTTAGCGTTTACACGTTTGCAGACGACGGTTTAAATGAGTTTAGGCGAACACTGGAGCCAGTTAAATTTTAGAAGCACATGCAAAGAAGAAAACATATATAATTTCTTTCTCTTTCCGGAATCTGTCCTTTTCTTGCGGAAGTGATGGAAGAACTGCATTATGGTATATTGGTATTGGTGTGCCTTCTAGTCTTTTCAGATGAATGATGGTTTGGCAGATGGAACTGCGAATTTAACTTGTGTAGTATCAAAAAAGTTTCTCTGCGAATCATTGTAGATTGTATGATGTGCTTTGCTAGTACATTGCCCTCAAATTCTAAGCAGGCAAGCATGCCCCCTTTTGAATAACACCTTGGTTATGTATGTGTTATTTTACTAAAGATGGCATGATAAGGATGCAATATCACTTTCATTTGACATTGGCACCAAAATGTATAGCTCTGTATCCTCCATTTGCTTGATGATATTCTAGGAGGCCAGTTTTCTTTTATTCCAGTTGAGACCTGATTTATTCCTTGAAGCATACTTACTGCTTATAGATTTGGTGGAGGTGGGCACAATCACGCATGTCATATGCTTTGTCGCATACCTGTCAGAAATATCATGGTTAGTTTAAAAGAGCAGGTCAGGCATTGCATGCTACTAACCAATACAATGCTTGATGCCTTTAGCTGTATTTCTTTGTGCTGATACTGAACTTCTCGGGGAGACTACCTTTTCGGTAAATAAGTTTGGGGGCTGTGCCTGTGGCTATTTTTGTTAATCTCGGTGATGTGGTTTTTGTCAAACTAATAGTTTCGGTAGTCAGTATTCTGTTCAGATGATCCACTTTGCATGAGTTTACTCATACCCTGTTATGGCCTTATGGGATTGCATGTTTGGTTCCATTTTACTGTATATGTAAAATTCCCTGGTAGTTTCAGTAAACGGTTAGGTTTTATTAGGGTGCATGTGGATAAGGTGTACTATGATATAGTTTCTATTCGCTTGTTACACTTAATGTTCATTTGATTTCTCCCCAACTTGCAGATTAGACAGAATGATCGTTTGGCTGTTAGCAAGCTAGTTTCTAGTTTGACAAGGGGATCTGTCCGTTCTCCTCTTGCACAATGTCTTCTGATTCGTTACACAAGCCAGGTAACCCAATAACTCATATCTTGCTCTATTTAAAACTAAGTAAAATATGGGAATTACTAAAATAGAAAGGGCAATTTACAGGTTATGCGTGAGTCAAGCATGAACACTCAAAATGGTGACCGCCCATTTTTTGATTTTCTGGAATCATCCCTCAGACATAAAGCAGAAATGGTGGTTTTGGAAGCTGCACGGAAAATAACAGAGATGGATGTTACAAGCCGTGAATTGACACCAGCGATTACTGTTTTACAGTTATACTTGAGTTCATCCAAGCCTGTGCTTCGATTTGCTGCTGTCCGGACTCTCAATAAGGTTATCTATACATGGTCCTCAAGCTTAGCTGTTCAAAGTTATTCCCGCCCTATCTGTTTCTTGATTTACCATTATATTGCAGGTTGCCATGACACGCCCTCTGGCTGTGACAAACTGCAACGTGGACTTGGAGAGTTTGATGTCAGACCAGAACAGGAGTATAGCGACCCTGGCAATCACTACTCTTCTTAAAACTGGCAATGAATCAAGTGTGGATCGCCTCATTAAACAAATTACCAATTTCATGTCTGACATAGCAGATGAATTCAAGATAGTTGTTGTTGAAGCTATACGATCTCTGTGCCTGAAGTTCCCACTAAAATATCGCTCAATGTATGTGGATAGCTGAAAGAGTGTTGATTTTTTGCTTTGAAATTCCACTGCTTTGACTATGTCTTCTGTCTTTCAGGTTGAATTTTTTGAGCAACAGCTTGAGGGAAGAAGGGGGCTTTGAGTATAAAAAGGCCATAGTGGATTCCATAGTTACTTTGATCAGTGAAATACCAGATGCCAAAGAAATTGGCCTGCTTCATCTTTGTGAATTCATTGAAGACTGTGAATTCACATATCTTTCTAGTCAGGTAACTACCATTATTATGTTATTGCTGTTGATAAAGAATTTATTCATTAACTTCCAGTCTTCCATCTATCTATGAATTAAGTAATCTCCATTTGTTGTAGTTATTTGATGTCCTCTAAAATAGTAAAATGCTTATGCATAGAAAACACTTTCATGGTTTGAAGTCATGGTTTTGCACCAATTGTGAGGTATATCTAAAGTGCACATCTAGACGGCATAAGATGTTCTTTGCACCAAACGATTGCTTTGGGTGGTTTTCTATTTTTGTTCACTGCCTGTTCATGGTGCGCCTGAACCTTGATTGCTTCTGCTGGGTTTCAACTCTAGCCTACCCCAACTTGTTTGGGACTTAAAGGCTTTGTTGTTGTTGTTGTTGTGCCTGTTCATGGTGCAACAGAGGCACCAGAGAGAACAGTTTGTTCACTGTATTCAATTCTGTTAAGAGTCCATTTATTGCTCATTTTGGTTAGATTTGAGAAAACCCAGTGTCTCCTATATTTAGATTTTGTGAGATTAATATTCTAATATAAATGTTCTACCGAACATATTCACATACCATTAGCAATACAAACAATATGTGGATTGAGAACATGCAGCAACTTCAAGTGCTTAAGTATTATCTCAATAGTTTTTGTTGATCCACTGTGATTGCGAGAATTGGGATGTTTTTTTATGTGTGTAGATTTTGCATTTTTTGGGAAATGAAGGGCCAAGGACATCAGATCCAAGCAGGTACATTCGCTACATTTACAACCGTGTGATATTGGAAAATGCGACTGTTCGTGCTAGCGCTGTCAGCACGCTGGCAAAGTTTGGTGCCCTGGTTGATACACTCAAGGTATGTCAACTTCTTAGATTAGTAAGTGTATTTTTATATTATCGCCTTTCCTGTGTATTTCCAGCTCATTTAGGATTTCTGTATTTGTGTTTCAGCCTCGGATCTTTGTTCTCTTGCAACGATGCCTGTTTGATACTGAAGATGAGGTAAGTTTAGAATTCTACTTGTTTTAATATGCTTTTGAGCACATAAGAAACTTTAAACAATCCTTCATCAGATTTGGTAGTCTTACTCAGCAGAGTACCTGATAAGATGGTGTTAACAAGAATGCCATTGGTGTTTGCTGTCATAGGTTCGTGATCGTGCTACACTCTATCTCCAAACTCTTAGCGGTGAAGTTCCCATTGGTAACGATGAGAAGGATGCGAAGGACTTCCTGTTTGGATCTTTTGACGTGCCATTAGCCAACCTGGAAGCAAGCCTAAGAACTTATGTATGTTTAGAATGAGCATTACATCCTGCATACTTCAAATGAATGCATGTTTTTGCTTATGTCTTAAAGAACTTAACAGGAACCTTCAGAGGAGCCATTTGACATATCTTTGGTGTCGAGAGAAGTCAGGTCGCTACCACTTAAAGAGAAGGCAGCCCCTGGCAAACGGCCACCTGCTGCTGCTGCTGCCCCTGCACCTGTTTCAACTGTTGATGCTTATCAGAAAATGCTTTCATCCATTCCTGAGTTCTCTGGGTTTGGAAGACTCTTCAAGGTTTGCATACTGTTCTGTCTTTTGAAATTTAATAAGTGCATATGCTAATTCTCTCAATTTCTACAGTCCTCTGAACCCATGGAGCTGACAGAGGCAGAAACTGAATATGCTGTTAGTGTGGTTAAGCACATTTATGATGGCTACATTGTATTGCAGTACAATTGTGCAAACACTATAGAAGAACAATTGCTAGAAGATGTAAGTCTCTACATTCCAAGTATTTTCTTCAAGGACTAAATGTTAACTCACACTGAAGGTTTGGTAAATGTCTTTGCTTCTTCCAGGTCACTGTTTGCGTTGATGCCTCAGATGCTGAGGAGTTTTCAGAGATTTGTTCAAAGCCTCTTGCAAGCTTGCCGTATAATTCACCTGGGCAAGTTTTTGTTGCTTTTGAAAAGCCAGAGGGTGTACCTGCTGTTGGGAAATTTTTAAATTTGTTGAAGTTCACAGTTAAAGAGGTAAACATAATGGTGTTTCATGTGTATAATCTTCTCCCAGTATCAGACATTAATAATAATATAGTTTGTTTTTCAATAAATGTAGTTTGTTAAGTTCTGTATCATATGGATTTGATTTGGAATTTTCTGTCCATGGCATATGATTTAGGTCGTCTAGAAACTCTCTGAACCGTCTGGAATTCTAGTATTACCTTCTTTGGTTCTGAAGAAGTTTTTGGGAAATATTCTAAGATTGACATGACTATATGTCTTTTTAATTTGGATCGAGAATGCTAAGACATGGGCTTTAATTGAATTGAATTTGTATTGTTCTATAACTAAATACCTTCCCATTTTGTCAGGTTGACACAACTACAGGGGAAGCTGATGAGGATGGTGTGGAGGATGAATACCAGTTAGAGGACTTTGAAATTGTTTCATCTGATTATATGCTGAGGGTTGCTGTCTCCAATTTTAGGAACGCCTGGGAAAATATGGACCCAGAAAGTGAGCGTGTTGATGAGTATGGACTTGGGGTTAGAGAAAGTTTGGCTGAGGCTGTCAATGCTGTCATTAATATCCTTGGGATGCAGCCGTGTGAGGTCAGCTTCCAATTCTCAAAAAAAATTTCTCTGGAAGTCAATTTTCCCACACATCATTTGGTATTTCTTGGAGCATCAGTAGTGAAGCTTAACCTAAGAATTTAGCACATCAAATGTCAGCTTGTTAATCTTATGCCTTGTGTTGGGTGTTGGGATGATTAATATGCAAGTGGTATGTTTGGTTGATGTTCTGGGCTATGCCTATAACATTGGAATGATCTGTGTGCATAATTTGGAATATCAGGACAGTTATGTTGGCATTGTGAACTAGACAACTAGAGCACATGTTCAGAACTTTGTTTTTCTTTAGATAATGGTACTTGGATGGTTGCTAAGTGCTCCAGTTACTTTGTTTTTCACTTTTCAGGGCACTGAGGTTGTACCAAAAAATGCAAGATCGCACACCTGCCTGCTATCTGGCGTGTTTATTGGCAACGTGAAGGCCCTAGTTAGGTTGTCATTTGGACTGAGTGGGCCCAATGAAGTGGCAATGAAATTAGCTGTGAGATCAGATGACCCTGAAGTCAGTGATAAGATTCATGAGATTGTCGCCAGCGGATAAAGCGCAAGACATACAAATCTTGTGCCAAAACAATGTAGAGCGGGTAGATGCCTTTACACTTCGATGCTTACAGTCTTGTTTCTTCGTGGATATTCTCAGATAGCATATGCTGTAATCTTTTTTGTTTTTGTTTTTTTGCTGTATGTATAAATAACATCAGATATTTGTTGATGTTTATTCAATACTGATTTCATGGAATATTCAGAATGGAAATGTACTTGTACCCTTCTGTGGTTTGCCTTCGTGCTGAACTGCTGATGAACTGTACGTCTGTAACCCTCTCCCAGAGGTGTGAATACGGGCCTTTTTTTTGGGCGGGTGTGTTGTCTGGATGTCATGTGCCAGGTAAGAGCATCTCCGAGAGTTCCCTAAATTTCTTTCTAACCTTTGGTTTTTTGGCAATGTATTAGGTGCAAACCAACTAATATGTACAAATTTGAAAACTATTAATCATGACTACTAGATGCTGATCTAATGGATAGGGTGAGAGGTGTGATTTTTTTACGCTTAAGCCCTCTACTCGTTGGCTTTTTTTATTTTTTGCGCTTAGGTTTCCTCACCCTATCCATTGGATCAGCATTAGTGGTCCTGATTGGTAGTTTTCAAGTTTACACAGATTAGTTGGTTTGCACCTGATATGTTGCCTGGTTTTTTTAGTAAGATGAAAAAAAACCTCTTTTCAACAACTTCTAATCTATCCTTATAATCTTTTAGAACTTGGGAAAAGTCACCATGTTTCGCGTAAAGTTACGTGATTCCGAGGAATGAGTGGATTATCAGACGCTCTTGAGATAACCTTCTTTATTCCTTCCGATACTTTTTAAGAGTTATAAAATTTCGTGTTTTGGGAAAGAAAATATTGGATACTCTAGGAGATGCTCTAAGAGTAAAATGAATAAACTCACCACACCTGGAAATAAATAATCTTATGTGGTGACTTTTTTCGCGATAAATTATCTGTTCATTAGATACCTCTATGATCTGTGTACCTCCGAGGCTCCAATTTGATTTTTTTTTGAGACCTACGTCATATTTGGCACTAGTCCAGCTCATAGATCAATGCACGGTTCTGTTTAAACATATATTTAATCTAAAATAATACTGCCTCCGTTTTTATTTACACGTTATCAAACATTTGTATATTTGACTATCGATTTAAAAAAAAAGTTATATAGATTCGTGACATAAGATTTATGCTTTTACATTTACTATATAAAAAATGCTTTCATAATATACAATTTATAGGTTGTAAAACTTTACCCGTTTTCTAAAATGAATGGTCAAATATAGTAATATTTGATTTTAGACAAATTTAATGTGACATGTAAAAAAGAACGGAGGGAGTAACACAAATTCTCAACCAATTACTTTTATTGTGTTCCCAGTAAGGCAATAACTTATGGAGCTAAAGAATAGAGACGGGCACCATTTTTTTTTTGAGTTTGAGTTACTGAACAATACATCAATCACTTGTAATATTTGCTTAAGAGGAAATGAGATGTGTTGTCATACACCTAACCACCTAGAGATAGCAAAAGAAGATGGCTACCCATCTCCATCTTTGTAGGAAAGAAAATCCCCGTCACCTCTCTCCAAAGCTTGCAAGGGAGATTTGGGGAGTGTTTGGTTCCCAGCCATGCGACGCCACACCATAGCCAAGACTGCTACACTGCTATTTGGTTACTGATTAAAGTTAGGCAGCTACAACTTTTACAGGTTATATTTCCGCTATGGTTGTGGCGCCCGATTCTGCCGCCACCAAGTGTGGCGTTGCCACACATTGCATGGCGCAGTTTGGTGGGGAACCAAACACGCCCTTTATCCCCATCCTTGTCCCTACATAGAGGATAATCCATGTGCATTTGGTACATCACGAAATATAAATGAAAAATAGCTAAACTAAGGGAAAATCAAGTTTTAGCACAAGCACCCAACTAGTGACCTGTAAACTGGTGGGGATCCTCTCCCCGCATTAATATCAAAAAAAGAAAAAAAAAACTAGTGAACTGCAATGCACACATATAATTCACCAATCCCACTGTAGCACAAATATAAACTACACAACAGAGATATTATACATTCTAGTGATCTCTAGGTGCGTATATGAAAAGCGCGCGGCGGATGAGGAGGTCGGGGATGGAGAATGATCTCCGTACATGCGTGTAGACACATTTGATTTAGTGGTATTTTTGTTTCGAGGCAGATACTCACAATGTGATGAGATTTACTGAATCACATTTGTTCTCTCTCCATTCTAAATTGTAAGTCGTTCTGGCTATATACCTAAATATGCATTATGTCTAAAAGTTAAAATACTCCCTCCATGTCATATTATATCCAGACACATAGTAAAATAGATGAATCAAAAAAGTCAAAGCGACCTATAATTTAAAACGGAGAAAATAACTTATAATTTGAAATGGAGTGAGGAGAGGAGTTCTGCTGTGTACAAGAAAATATATAATTAGGTAACTTCATGCTAATCTGTGTTGGCCTGCAGCCTGCTGTCTTGTTGGTATTCGCACAAATTGTCCCTCAGCCTCCAAAAAAAGGAGCAAGAAGACTGAAAGGTCATTAAAAAAAACTCCAACTTAAAAGAAGACCGAAAGAAAATGAAAAAATTCAAATTAAAGAAAAATGTTCCATTGCCGGGTTAAGAAAAAGGAGCAAGAAGACCGAAAGGGATTTCTTTTTTAAAAAACTTCAACTTAAAAAGAAGACCGGAAGGAAAACAAATTTAAAAAGTGTTCCATTGCCGGGATTTGAACCCGGGTCGCCTGGGTGAAAGCCAGGTATCCTAACCGGACTAGACGACAATGGATTTGTGTTAGAGGGAACCTGTCATACTACTAAACTGTACGGATAGACGAACTAAACGCAGCCCAGCCGAAAGCCCACCAACACCAAGCCGCCCGTTCTCAGCCTCTTGCAGTCTTGATACCTGGCCGCCTGTCGCTGCCGCCCGCGCTCCTCTAGGCTGCAGTCCTTTTCTCCACAGTCCGCCCGCGCATTCTGTCGAACACCTCGTCCTCTACACGCTCATCCCCGCCTTCCCAATCCAGAACTCCTAAACCCTAGCCCTTCTTCCCGCCACCACCATCCATCCACAATCCACGCGGGCGATGCGGAAGAGGTAGTCTCCGGCGATGGCCTGCTGCTTCGTCCGCGTCGCTGCGGCGCCCCGCCTCCTCCTCTGCCGTGCCGCCGCTTCGCGGCAGCTCCCGTCGCCACTCACCGTATTCAGGAAGGTAAATGTTATCACTAAATCCGTTCTCCTCTTTTGGCGTGACGACTTGGGGGCGAAGTGTGTTTGTGGGATGCCCATTAACTCTATTAGCACCAGGAAGTTCACGAGCCATCTACTGATACTTGGATTGCATTGCCATGGTTTATACTTTTATACTCAAGGTTATTCGATGTGCAAAATCGGAATTGTGTAGTTCGATTACTTCGTTAAGGTGGTAACCACATTATATGCAGTTTTGGACTTCCACTGATTTATTTTTGCTCATAGTTGCATAGCGTGTTGGATCTGTCGAGCATTTTTTTTCAGCTTCAAAGTGATTGCTGTTCAAAGTTCATCATGATAACTTCAAGGATGCTAGCATCAATTAACTGTTCTTAGTTTTCTCTTTAATATCAGGGTTTTTCGGAGCAGTCAGTTCTGCCAGTCACAGACTCGACTGAGTGTTTTCAAGGACCATCAGTGCAGAATACTCCACGCATTCCACTGTATGATGACAGCATATCCTCAAGCATATTGGACACATTGTCAAATCCGACTGAGGGTGTCCCTCATGCTGATCCTTCAAAGAGCAGAATAATGCTAGTTGATGGAACGTCGGTGATGTACAGATCCTACTACAAGATATTAGGTTAGTTTCTTCCTGATTTCTTCTTCACTGCACCGCTTTGTCGATCTGTGTTGCTTGCCTTCTGCTTCCTGTTTCTTATACTAGTAAACATTTAGAAAGGAAACAAAATGATGTCTATAACTATATACTTCCATCGGCAAATGGTATACTGGAACTGAACTACTGAATTGTTGGCCTTAGTTTTTGCATTATTTTAAAGCTGTAGAATGATCTAGGGTCATATACACAAAAATATAATGGAAAAAAATCTTCACATCATGTTTAATTGAATAATTTCGTAATATAGATCCATTTATGTCATATCATTTACCCATAAGATGTGCAGTATTTGTAGGCCGACAGTTTAGCTGCTGGATTGCCTAGACTAAGCTAGGCATATCTGGTCTCTTGAAAATTGTCCTTGCTTTAATTTGTGTTATGCTGTTTAAAGCTTGTTTGACTAGCATCTTGTTCTTCTTTAGTTATGTTAGTGTAATCATGTCAAAGTTATGTCTGACAAAAGCTCCTTTACCTAAACCAAAAGCAACTGCTTGACATTGTTCTCTATTTTTCCCCTCTTCCTCATTTTCTCTGCATTTTTTAATTACTGAAATCTGCAAGTCGTCTCTTTTTTCTTTAACATTTGTAGCACAGCTGCAGCACGGCCAGTTGGAGCATGCTGATGGAAATGGGGATTGGGTTTTAACTATATTCAAAGCTCTATCCCTGGTAAGTAGTATTGTTCCATAGTCAAATGGGGTCCTTGATCCTAAGAAGTTCAAATTCTACCCTTAGGTTTCTATTCCCTCCGATCCCAAACACAAGTTCATCTAACCTTTTTCTGAAATGCACCAAATATAAGTCCATTATAATTCCAATGCATTTTTTGCTTCATTCTTCCATATCTATCCCTACTTAAGTGCACACAGCACAGAGCACTCTAATCAATGCAATACACTTGCCACCCATCTTTACTGTAGTAATGATTGATGGGCAATATAGTCAATGCACCTCTCACCTTAATTCTTATGCTCAAGTCCAAATGGACTTATATTTGGATCGGAGGGAGTATGCATTTTTACAGCTTTCCTAATTCATTTGTCACAAATAGAGTAAATGGACTATGAGCATCAATCCTGTCCTCTCTTTCTGTAGCAAAACTCTTATGATGTTTTGGAATTGCGGAATAGATAGAGACTAGTTTACAAAGTCTACTAGCATGGATGTAGATGGCCATTTGACCATTCCATTGCGATTTTGGATTTGCTGGTAAGACAAAGGATTTGCTATGCATAGCTGACTGTTTCAGCTGTTTTGCATCTTAAAAGAGCTCAGTCTTCAGTATCAGTTAATGTTAATATAAAATTTACTTTTATACTTTCTGTTGTGGGTTCACATTTTTTTAGTACTCTGTTCCAAAATGGAGGTCATTTTTAGTTTTGTTGTAAGTGAAACTGATCTAAATCTGATCAAGTTGATAGAAAAATATATTAATATCTACAATGCCAACTAAATGCACTATGAAGACATATTTCATGGGAAATTTAACGAACTAATTTGATGTTATAGATATTGGTGCATTTTTCTTTAAACTTGGTCAACTTTAGAGAAGTTTGACTTAGAACAAAACTAAAATGACCTACATTTTTCTTTGAAGGGAGTTGTGAGGTGACAAACTACATATTAACATGTTACAACTTTATATTTAGCTTTGTGTGTTATTCATCATTGTGATTGTTCTGAATTCCTTTTGCAGCTTCTTGACATGCTGGAGTTCATTCCATCTCATGCTGCGGTATGCTCAGTTCTAGCATGGTTTCGACTGGCATCAATATCTGTTGTTTCCTCATAGCTTCCATCACTTATGATTTTCTTAACCCATTTGTAGGTTGTGTTTGACCACGATGGTGAGCTGTGCCCAGGATAATTCATATTTGAGTATACACATTCTGTTTAATGTTTTAATATTCATGCAGTGACTCTTATTGATCAATCTCTGCAACACACACTTGTCACATTTTTTCCTCAATAAGCATTGGATCTTTGCCATAATATAATGATTGCACAGTTGAACTTATTGAGCTTATTAATTGCACTAGATCAGCGTATTGATCCGCTGCAAGCTTTACCTTGCTATGTGATTTCTTGTTACATTTCACGAATTGTTTTATTCAATATATTTTTATCAGAGATGTTTGGTTAAATTTGAGATCAATTTATTTAGGGTCTTTATTTTTTGGGTGGGGTGGGGTGTTGGTTCTAGTTTTTCTTTTTCTCCTTGAATTTCTTCTTGAAGCTGAACATTCCTGGTGGATGAGATTGTGAGATGGACCTAGTATCTGTGCAAATTTAAAGTGATTCATTTCCTCAAGTTCTTAAAGCAACGAAGTCACCAAACTTTTCTTTTCAGGAGTTCCATATGGTCATTATACTGCCATGCCATCCAAAGAATGTCACATGGCAAAAGGTAAGAGTGTAAGATGTCTCAAGTTGATGGGATCATGGTAGAAGGTAATCTGTGGCTGTCAGTTAGCATCTTGGGGATGCATCAAAGATCTTGGACTGAGCCTCAATCCACGATTTGTGTTTGACGGCCTGGAGCCCTGGCTTGCACATAAGCAATGTTTTGTTGAACTCCATTCCTTGGTCAAGAAAGTGTTGGGTAGAGAGAAGTATGAATGGTATAGGAGTGTTGGGTAAACCAGTTTTGGAATATTGCATTTTGCCTTTTTATTTTCTAAGAATTTTATGGCGCTTAGTTTCTTGGTTCTTATTATCTTTCCAGTTACTCTTTACTAAAAAAAAACGCGTAGAATATTGGAAGCAACAAACATACGAGGCATCAAGGGCATCTTTGATGCTCCAAGTTGGGAGGTCTTAGAGATACTTTGCTTACTCATTGGAAAGAGAGCATGCCAACACTTAAACTTTGATGTTTTCATCAGCCACTTTTTAGAAGATACCTTTGCTGTTGTATCATGTTACTCTCATCTTTTGAATCCTATAAAGAAACATTACCATTCTTTTCTCCCCCTTTAGGAATGACCTTTCGTCATATGTTGTACCCTGCTTACAAGAGCAACCGCACTCCAACACCTGACACCGTTGTCCAGGGCATGCAATACTTGAAGGCATCCATTAAGGCGATGTCAATAAAAGTAATTGAGGTAAAAATATATCAGTTATGAATTTGCTACAATCTGGGTAGCTATTTACTATTTATTAGTATGTTTGGGGAACATGCCATGTCCCATGTACCACGGAGCTGCATCTCCGTTAAATGAGATAGCTGCTGATATTTGGCATTGTCAATAATTGATTCAGGTTCCAGGCGTTGAAGCTGATGATGTTATTGGCACCCTGGCTGTAAACAGTGTTTCGGCTGGTTACAAGGTAAACACTGGAGCCATTGGTCACTTTCAGTTGTTCTATCCATCAACTGTTCATCATTGATAATACCTAGAATGTTCTATTCGAACTTGAGGTCTTGAAAAGATCTGACCAGAAAATCTACAACTAACTGGATCACCCATCCCCAAATGCGGCACCACATCCACCCACAAAACACCACAGGCATATAATATATTCTCATATATTTTTGGTCCTTATTTATGACGAGTGCCTTTTGGTCTTAAAATGCCCCTTCTGAAGGTACGGATTGTCTCTCCTGATAAAGACTTCTTCCAAATTTTGTCACCTTCTTTGCGTCTGCTCAGGATTGCTCCACGCGGATCAGGGTAAGTTAAAATGGTTTGCAAGTACTGAATGTTTGAAATAGTTAAGTTTTATGATTTGGACATGCAGGATGGTTTCATTTGGAGTTGAAGACTTCGTCAAGCGATATGGAGCACTGAAACCCTCGCAGTTTGTTGATGTTGTTGCACTTTCAGGAGACAAAGCTGATAATATACCTGGTAGCCTTTTGTTACTGTTTTGTCCTATGATCCATGCCTCGTCTAACAAGTGATATCCTTTTTCCTTCTTTTTTTACTCTGGTAAAAAAGAATTATGTATGTGAATATAACATACTATGGGTTGGTTGGTCTGTTTGTTTCCTTTATATGAATGTAATTTCTGATTACTATTGGTGACAGGCAAGGAGATTTCATTTCTCTTTTGCACAAAGGTAACCAAGTACACTAGTGGCTATCGTCATATAGAAATAGTGCTTTCTTGTGCTGGATTGCCTTTGTTTTCTAGGCCCTGTTTGGGACCACGGTCGTGGCCACGTGGTGCGATAGCTGAACCGTGGTTCCATGGCTGCGGTACTGTTAATTGGTCGCACAGTTCATTCTTGCAGTCCCGCACTCTTGTCGCTGATGCGGTGCTGCGTTTGGCACGATTCTCACGGTCGGTGGCCGGGAATCTGATTATAGTCGGTTCCAAACAGGGCCCTAGTCTACTGTCGTCATAATCAGGAGTCCCACAAAGTGAAGATAAGATAACTACCTGGAAGAAGTTAGTGTGAAGGCGGTAGGAACTTTGGAAATAAAATAAAGACATCTAGTCATGTGCTCTTTGTTGTAGCTGTTCTTTATCGAGGAACAGATAATTTGACGATCTTTTACAGATATTCTTTCGTGCTTGTTCTACTTGTTTAGCTATTGGTTCTTTTGTTCTGTACTGCACTGTGTGATTGAAACTGTAATTTTAGCTGTTGAATAAAAACCTTTGCCGACCTATCAAATTAGCTATTAACCATACTAAGTCTATTTACCTTTTTAGCACAAATGCAATTTGTTCTGTGCCAATCTGCTTAGAACTGTTACCAGTGATCATCCATCATTCGTTGCCACAGTGCATCTCTCTGATCTAAATTTATCTTTGCTGGAACCTGTTGACCGAGATATGCTTATGATGTGATTGAAAACACTTTTATTTTCAGGAGTTGAGGGGATTGGAGATATTAATGCAGTAAAGCTGATAACTAAGTTCGGTATGCTTCTTTAAAAATCTTTGCACTTATAAGACTAATCTAATCTGGGTTAATTAGTTTAATATTTGTATTGCTGTAGCAGAGTTTATTTTGTTATGTTTAGCTTGTTGGTTCAAACTCATTGATCTAGTACACATACTATAAAAATTGGATAGGTTTTAGAATCTGACATACACTCCAAAGTGGGAAGGTTTGAATCCATCTGTCTTTTGTAAATCACATGTTTAGCCTTGTCTGTCAACTTTTTTCTTAGGGAACACCAGCAAAGCATATCTGTTACCCTGATTATCTTAAGAGGTTTCAGAGACATAGCAATGATATTTTTCTTTTTTTTTGAAAATTCTAAATAGGTTCCTTGGAGAATCTACTGAAATCCGTGGATGAAGTTGAGGATGAACGAATTAAACAGGCAATGTGTACATGATAACTCCTCCCCTTTGTTTCCTTTGTTTGCATGTATCGGCATCCACTTGCATCTGCACAGAAACTCTAGCAATGCTGGCTTGATTCCACTTCATTTTGTTATATGATGCCTTTGTTGCAATGGATTTGGTAAATGCATGGTCCTGAAAAGTTAAATATAATTTTAGTTCTTTCACTTGAAATTAATCTGGCATCTTTTTGATTGACATCATTGTGGGTTCTTTACAGGCTTTGATTTCTCACTCGGAACAGGCAATCCTTTGCAAAAGCCTGGTATTCTTTATTGATATTTCTGTGGATAGTTATTGCTTCGTTTCTAATTGTCAAGAGAATATCTCAACAAATTCTTTTCATCCAAACGACCTTGTAGGCCACGTTGCGTTCTGATCTTCCTCATTATATGGTTCCTTTCAGGACAGCCAACCTTGTATTTAAGAAGCCACAGGTAACTTGAAATTAAAATTTAAGCACCATACCATTTTAGTTTCTAGGGATACTAGTGTTCTCATCTTATGTTCCTCCCTGCATACACTTAAGTTCTTGTCACATACTGCTTCAGGATGATGGAGTCAAATTCATAAAACTCTTACGAGCACTGGAAGCATATGCAGAAGGCTCCTCAGCAGATCCAATCATCAGAAGAGCAACCTATCTTTGGAACAAACTTAAATGATGATGACACTGATGTTTTCAGCGTTGACTAAAAAGGGATTTTACCAAGGAGTTTGGATTCAAAGCCTGGTGACGTAGTGCTCAACACTAATGCCATTGACTTTTGTGGACTCGGCGGCCAGCCATACCCAAATCGCAACAAATTGTTGCTGGCATAGGTGTGCAGAAATGCATAAATCTAAGGTGCCGCTGCTTAGGCAAAGCAGCTCAGGTGTTTATATCACGCAACTTAGCTCTGTAGATAAAAAAAAAATGCACAACGTTGCTCCGCCTTTTTTGAGAAGAAAGCTCGCGGAATCCATCTGGTTTTTTATATCTCTGTACTACAAATTACAAAGGAGTTGCAGGCGGAGCTGTGGAGGCCAAAGCAGGGCAACCGTGTGGCTCAACATCCGACCATTCGACTATGCCTAGCAGCTTTCGTGAAGTCTAATACGGTGGTGAATCTATACGCACAACTGTGTGTTGCAAAAGCCTGTACTTGTTCCGTCGCACACAGATGCTGTAACTAGTTTCCGGCTACCTTGACCAAGCACAGCAAAACACCAAACAAAACGAGCCGCCATGTGCTGGCGTCAGTTCGCCGAGACACGGCTCCGCCCGGGATGTAGCACGAGCTGCTCTGCGGCAACTGTTGGCCCTGCGTGCTGCCTGGCACGGCGGCCGTGGTCTCGCAGAACCCCGTCGGCATCGTCCCTTTGCTCGGTTGCGGCGTGCCCTGCAAATTCAGATGGCATCAGTAACTCCCCGTTCCATCAATCAAGGGCAGCAGAGATGGCGAGCACTGATCTAGAACTGGAAGTACCTGTGCCGGAACCGGGTTCAAACTCGTCGGTGCCGCCGTGCTGCTGCTCTTCGCGAGCCCGACGTCGTAGTTCGCCGTCAGGTCTGTCTTGTACAGCCCGAAGGACCGCTCCGACTCGGGGCCCCCCTTGAGGTCCTCGTCGTAGAGCGCGAAGATGTACGTGTCCACCGACTTGCCTGGCGTCCGCGGCGTGCCGACCTGGGACTTGAGGTGCGCCACGAGGTTGGTGTTGTAGGCCTTGGCGTTGTCCACCGTGGCGCCGGCCTCGTCGGCGTCCCCCTTGTACGGCCACCCGGTCTCGGCGATGACGATGTCCACGTCGCTGTACCCCTTGGCGTCCAGCGCCGCGCGGATGGCGTCCAGCTGCGCGTCGAACATGTTGGTGTAGGTGAGCCCCGACACGGCGTCGACGCGGCCCGCGTTGGGCTGGAACAGGCAGAAGGCCAGCGTCTCCGGCCGCGTGTCGGAGGCGTACGCGAAGTAGGGGTACGGGTTGATCATGAAGGGCGCGCCGTTCTGGTGCAGGAAGTCCAGCACCGGGTCCAGGCTGCCGGCGAGGTCCGGGTGGAACGCGCCGGAGGACGGCGGGTCCGACGCCGACAGCACGGCCATGGAGTGCACGGTGGAGATCTGTACGTACAGTAGTTGCCAACTTGACTTGCTCAGGAACCGTCCGGCCAACCATGCGTCTCTAGAGGGAACACACATGTGTGACGAGAGGATATATACATGCCTTGGTGGTCGAGCCCGCCGGGAGCGCGGCGAGCAGGTTCTGCATGGCGGGGAGGAGCTGGGGCGCGAGCGTGGGGTCGTCGGAGTTGAGCAACTCGTTGCCGACGGAGATGGCGGAGACGGGAACCGTGGTGGGGATGTTGGCGGCGGCCCAGGACGCCGCGGCGGCCGGGGAGGACGCGAGGTTCGGGACGGCGCCGTTGGGGATGCCCAGCAGGATGGAGATGTTGGAGCCCGCGAGCGCGGCCACCAGGTCCGGCTGTGGCTCGTACAGGCGGAGCTTGCCGATGGACGTGGACATGAGGAGGCTGGCCGTCGACGCCGGCGGCGGCAGGTTGTCTGCGATCGTCCCGTAGTTGACGCCGATGAACGACTGCGACGCTGTAAATAGTAAAGTTGCATATGAGAATCAAAGATTACAGTGCACATGATTCATGAAGTGATTTCCAGTTAGCCCTTGTTTTGATTAGGGTTAGGAATTGGTATTTGACACTGTAGTATTTTTGTTTGTATTTAATAATTATTGTTCAATCATGGTTTAACTAGACTCAAAAGATTCGTCTCTCAATTTACAATCAAACTATGTAATTAGTTATTTTTTTATCTACATTTAATACTCTATGCATATGTCCAAAGATTTGATGTGATGGAGAGAAAGTGAAAAAACTTGCAATCTAAAAAGCCTTACTATAAGCTGGCACACGCACACAAAACACAAATGACAGTGATACGAATCGGATTTTAAAATTTCAAACAAAAACAAAGATTTTTTTGGGATGTGGCCAAATGGAAAAGAGCGTGATTTGTGGGGGCCGGCGTATAAGTACGTGGGAACGAGCAGTGGTTGTACATGGCAACGAGCCAACGATACGCACAGGTAGGCAGCCATGGCCTCTCTTTTGGCACCATCAGCTGTCATGCGTGCAGGTACCGCACAGGACAACCACGGCCACAGTCCCACAGACATAGCATTGGTGGCTGCTGCGAGTTTGGATTAGTTGCAGGCTGCAACTACCAACTACTCCTACAGTCCTACTCCTAAGTTTTGTCCAACGCAGGAGCCGTTGATTTCTTTGCATTAATAATTGGGCAATTGGCATGGAGAGAATTCTTTATTTGGCACTGGGAAAATGAGTCGTTCCTTTTTTGTCCTAAAATTTTCTTCGTTCCCAATTTAACATTCACTTCAACTTTCATCCCTAATTTGACACTACCATTAAATCCGTTAGGTAATGATGTTAACTGGTTATTAAAAAGACGTTTTTGCCCCTAGAAAAAAAAGCGGTGAAGCAAATTTGAGAGAAAAAAAACTTGCACCCGCCTTTGATGCATGCGCCCAGCTGCAAAAAAAGGCGTAGGTTTTTTTTCCTCTCAAATTTGGTTCGCCGCATTTTTTTGTAAGGGCAAAAACGTCTTTTTAACAGCCAGTTAACACCGTTAGCTAACGGATTTAACGGTAGTGTCAAATTAGGGATGAAAGTTAGAGTGGGTGTTAAATAGAGAACGAAAAAAATTTCAGGACCAAAAAAAAACGACTCATTTTCCCCGTATCAAAGGAATTCTCTCGTTGGCATGCCCCTGCTAGATTCCCTGACCAACCGGTTTGGTGGACTCAGAGACTGTGTGATCCACGGGGTCAAAGTTCACCTAGTACTCGCCTTCTCATACCATTGAACCAATCCAATTTGAGCATAACCCACGCCACTATGCCATGCCAGAGGCATGAACACTCCGTTTGAACTCTGAAGTTGCTTAGGAACTACTCGTCTACTCATGCTCCTCCTCCTTAATACAGTACTGACGCACAGTTGATGGTCTCACAGCAGAACATGTGGCGTCTACTCTATTCTAAGTGCGTATCCACACCAATCAGTAGAATCCTGCATGGGCCCGACATGGACTTGTGCACCAATTGACATGGCTTGGTTTTTGTGGAGCTCAGCGTCGCCTGCTTTGAGGGGGCAATTTCTAGGCGTTAAGAATACGACTGTGACATATTGGAAAGAGAAGCTCCAGTTCTCTGCAGCAAGGAATTTGCTGGAGAAATTTCATTTTCATGGTTAGCAAAAGCAGAGATCTCAGCAAATCCGTCCCACCCTTATAGAATAGCGAAAATTGTGCCATCAATCACCATCGGCTTTACACGCCACTTGGGAAAAAAACCAGCAGGAAAGTTCGGTAACTACCCCCACGAAAGAGCGAGTGAGCTGCGTATGTGTAACGTGTAACGTATGCTGAATTTTGTGTCTCCAGAAATGATAAAAGCAATGTACAGAACGCTCAATCGAGAAACCAAGAAGTATGCCAAAAGCGAAGCTACTCTCAATCGAGAAACCAAGAAGTATGCCAAAAGCGTTCCGCTGGTATGAACCAGACCAGCCAGCCGGCTGGATTCCCTCTCGCGTTACTGTTCATCAAACCAGCCGAACAGTATTTTTCTCTCACAACAAACCAGCCGAAACAGTGTTTTTCAGTCAAGTTTCAGACGAGCGAACGGAGCCTGAGTAGGCAACTAGACCACTAAAGTTTTCTGAGCACGATCTACATGATATGATAGGATTCAGTGTTAGGCTGTATACCTGCCGATTTTCACCTTTTTAACAGACAAACTGTTGTAGCCTAAACAATCGATTCAGCTAACCGAGTAGAAGTATAGCAGTCTAGCAGACAATAATATGGATATTCTTTCATCAAAAAAAAACATGGATATTCGACATTCATTTTCTGAATGACGAAGAACTCTGAACCCTGGAGCGCGAAGTCTTCAAATTAGCAGGGAAAGAGATGGCGCCAAATGAAACTTACTCGCCAAGCGGAAGAGGAAGAGCTCCAGGATCCACAAGACGATCGTAGCAGCATCGTGCCACCTCCTGATCCCCATGCTACCGCTGCTCACTGCAAGTCTGCAACCGCCCTACGCAGCTACGCTCCTCCAATGGCTGGCTACCAGTGGCGAGGAAGAGACGAAGGCGCTGAGGAAAGCAAGGCGAGGGAGGCGGGGACGGGAGACGCACGCAAGGACTCGCGCCGTCGCTGGCTGCAGGCAGAGTCTTTTCGCCTACTGCGTGAATGAAAGAG